GGGGGGGGGGGGTACACGGGAGGGGGAGGGGGGTATCTTACGTCACCTACGGCAGCATGTGTACTTGCCTTGACGACCTCTGCGTTACCCGTCGATGCCGCGACGAGCAGGGCGGTATCGCCGAGGGTGTCCGCGACGTGCACGGGCCCCCCTCGCTCAACGTAACGCCTCAACGTGTCCACGTCTTCTTCTCGTATGCAATTGAACAAGTTCTTCTCTGCCGCAAAGACGTTGGATTCCAAAATTTGGGAGAGCGTTTTTTTTTGTGTGCGCTTTTCTGCTCACGAGACTGAACATGAGATGCGCCCTCTAAACACGCGATTGAAGTGAGCGTCGGGGAATTGAGTCAAGATACTCTGCAGGAATCGTGGTTAAGCTACAAGCTCGTCCCCCATCGGCGGTAAGGATCGACCGCACGAGACCTGTCGTGAGCTGCTGAGGAATAAACCCGACAATAATCACGCCGCAAATAGGAGAGGAATACGAACCCCGGGAGCTCGATGGCGAGTGAGTGGGGACATGTGCGGCAAATAAGGGGAACGGTTTCAAAGCTAGAGAGTACGGTAGAGGTACATTCTTTGCGGTTGTTGGACGTGACCCGCGTGCATGTGTCGATATCTAGTTGGACCCGATCTCAAGGACCACTACAAGGCTAAGCGGTCGCCACTTACTATAGCCATGCGCTGCTGGCGTCGCGATATGCACCGACCACATCACAGTGGCAGCATTGACGCAGCGCATGAAACTTTTCAAGGCGCTCCGACACGCTCGCGTGAGACGGTGGTTGAGCTCAAACAACACCGCGAAGAACTATTATTACAGCTGTAGCGCGGTTTCGCGCACGCTAGAAAGTAGACAGCAACCGTGACGTTGTCTACATACGGCCGGCTCCGCACCTGACGCACAAGGGCCACCCAAATACTCCACGCTCACCTCCAGCTTGCATAGCCACTGTCGACCTTCCCCATCGTCGCTTCGTGCCGATGCCGTGGCCCGACCTCGCCAACGATTGCGACGGGCCGTATACCTGAGTCGGGGTGAGACGAGCACAATTCAAAAGTGGTGAGAGAGGCGCAGGCGCGCGCGCGCGGGGGGGGGG